CTTCACTCTACTGTTTTATTACCTTTTCCTAATGTTTTACCCTCAAGCCTTTCCCAGAAACATCCACAAATTACAAATCTTTTCTCTGCCCCAGCTTCCTCAATGTGATTTATATGCAAATGTCTTTTTACAAGTCCTCTCTGGCCCACAGCTTCCATGCATGAAACCTGTTGCATTCCACAAAGAAAAGCTTTCATTTTTCCTCCCTAAATTGTTAAATATATTAATGAAATACAGGGTATCCCAAAGGTTGCCCATAAAGTCACCACACATAGCAAAAATGGGAAGTTGAAGTTAAATGTACTTCTATTTACAAAATATTCATTATAAAATTTTCAAACTACAGTTATTTACAAAATATTCTCTACATCTTGCCCATCCCTTTGTAAAATTTTTCCTAATCTGCCCAGCACCAAGTAGCAGGAAAATTTCCCAACTTTCAGGTTTCACACTGGAAAACGTGAGATCATGGACAAAGAGGTTCTCCATCATCTTGGGACCCCTAGTAAGGAAGGAAGCATTCATGTGTACTAGAAAGAAGAAATATATTTGAGAACAGCCAGAGACAAAGAGGGGAGGGGGAATTAACATTCCCAGCCCCAGAAACTCTGCTCTATAACTCAGTCAATTGAAATGTCAAATCAGAGAGGCTGTTCAACAGCAATAAAAGGTACATCCCACAAGTCTCCTGGACATGAACCCCTAACCAGGCTTTCCACATTACTGGGCATCCCACTGGGACAGGCAGTGTCCCAATCATTTACAACAGTCCAGGCAAACCTGGGTTTAAGGTACCATCTAGTGGTGAAAAGGAAGCAGTGACCTCACAGGGGAAAAAAAATAAAGTTCAGCAGGTAAATTACAAAGAATCTCTATGCAAACAAACCCAATAAAAAGCAAAACAAACTAGACAGAGAGCACAGGAATAAAAAACTAATCCTTCAGGTGGGCGTGGTAGCTCATACCTGTAATTCCAACACTTGGAATGCCGAGGGAGTTGGACTGCCTGATCTCACAGGTTCAAGACCAGCCTGAGCCAGAATGACACCCCATCCCTAAAAATAGCAAGGATTGTAGAGGGCACCTGTAGTCCCAGCTACCTGGGAGGCTAAGTCAAGAAGAATAGCTTAGGCCCAGGAGTTTGAGGTTGCTGTGAGCTATGTTGCCACAGCACTCTCCTGAGGTGACAAAAGTGAGACTGTCTCAAAAAACAAAACAAAACAAAACAAAAAACTAATCCTGCAAAGTGAAGACACAGACATAATTCACAAGCAGCAACAGCAAACAGGGAACCATGATCTCACCAAAGCAAGAAACCAGTGCCTGACCCTAGCAAGTGATAAATGAGCTCTCTGACCAAGAATTCAAAGTACCAGTTTTAAGGAAACTTGGGGATCTCCAAAATAATACAAATAAGTATTAAAATTATCAAAGAAATTTAACAATGAGGTTGAAATCTGTTTAAATATTATGTAACCAATAACTGTTTCCTGAACTGAAAAATACATTAGAGGATTTTAATAGGACAATAGATCAAACAGAGGCAAGATCATCAATGTTCTCAAAGACAAACTGTTGATTAGTTTGATGTACGCACTCCAAATTGTATAAAAAAATCAACACATTGTACCCCACAAATGCATAAATGTATTTATGATCTATGTGTATATGACTTAAGGAAAAAAAAATTACACAGAGAAGAAAAAAGAATAAATAAAAAGAAACAATATCCTAATATGATATAGAAAATAACTTCAATAGACCAAATCTAAGACTTACTGGTGTTCAAAAAAAAGCTAAAAAGATCATGAGGTATAAAACTTACTCAAACAAATAATAACAAGAACTTTCCAAAATTTGAGAAAGATATAAATATCCAGGTACAAGAAGATCAATGAATATCAAACAGGCCAAGAAAGGTAGGGGAAAAGAAATCATGAAGAGAGGCTGATTAACAGGTACAAATATACACTTAGATAGGAGAAATAAGGCCCAGTATTCAATAAATCAGTGGGGTGACTGTAGTTAACATTAACTGATCAAACATTTCAAAATAGCTAGAATCATATAATCTGAGTGTTCCTAGTATAAAAAGATAAATATTTAAGATAATAGATATCCTCATTACTCTGATTTGATTATATGAATGCATCCAATTATCACATGTACCCCCAATACATATATATTAACTATTTTATATCACTAAAAAATTAATAAATTTATTTTTTATTTTTTGAGACAGAGCCTCAAGCTATCCCCCTGGGTAGAGTGCCATGGCATCAGTTACAGCAACCTCTAACTCCTGGGCTCAAACGAGTCTCCTGCCTCAGCCTCCCAAGTAGATGGGACCACAGGTGCCCGCCACAATGCCCAGCTATTTTTTGGTTGCAGCCATCATTGTAGTTTTGGCAGGCCCAGGCTGGATTCGAACCCTCCACCTTAGGTGTATGTGGCTGGCACCTTAGCCATTAGAGCCACAGGTGCTGAGCCAATAAATTTATTTTTAAATAAATTGTTAATCATTTCAAGATAGTCAATTTAGGAAACCATTCTTTCTCCATTCATGCAAAATGCTAGAGCAGTAAGTTTCTGGACTACCTGCTCCTCCATATTATATATTTATTTTTCATTAGGACTATACTGTTATAATTATTATTATTCACTTATATTTATTATGATTTAATTTTTTTCTCAATGACCCAGTCTACCAGATTAACTCTGGAATTATTTCAGCAAGTGCCAAAAAGAAAAAAAAAACATTTTAGGAATTTGATTCATACATTTTTTTTTATTAAGTAATTTGGAAAGAATTGTTATCTTATAACATTGTATTCTTTCCAATCTTGAATATTTACTTAATATGCTTCTTTTATGTCAAATCCAACTAATAACTCATATAAATGAGTATAATACATACCCTATTTACTTCATTTCACTTGCAATTTCACATAAAGTAAGGTATATAAAATTACATTAAAAAGAATAGATTGTCCAATAGTGTTAGTTATGTAGGAGCAAAAGAAAAAACTTCACTTGGGTGGGTGTGGTGGATTGCTTGAGTTCACGAGTTTGAGACCAGCCTGAGCAAAAGCAAGACCCTATCTCTACTAAAAATAGAAAAACTGAGGCAAGAGATCGCTTGAGCCCAAGTTTGAGGTTGCTGGGAGAAAAAGGGAAAATTTCACCAGACCACAGTAATCACATATCATCACTAACAATCCACCCACAGAATTCATGTATCTGAACTGGTAGTCACACTTTCCTGTAAGTCATAAAAGTCTTTTAAATAATTTGAGTTTATTAGAAATAAATAGCATGAGAATACATACCAGGTCATCTATATAATGTTTTTTTACCTTTTAACTAAAAATAGAAAAATAAATCCCAACGTGATTTATTTATTTTTTTGAGACAGAGTCTCACTACGTCGCCCTTGGTAGAATGCTGTGGCGTCACAGCTCACAGCAACCTCAAACTCTTGAGCGATTCTTTTGCCTCAGCCTCCCAAGTAGCTGGGACTCTGCAGGCACCCGCCACAATACCCAGCTATTTTTTGGTTGTACTTGTTGTTGTGGTTTGGCAGGCCCGGGCTGGGTTTGAACTCACCAGCTCTGTTGTATGTGGCTGGCGCCCTACCTGCCTAGTTACATGCACCAAGCCCCAAGGTGATTAGTTTGATAAACTGTTCAGATAATTTACCAGCCATATAAAAATCAGTATTACTATAAATGATATAACTTCTGTGTGAAAAAACATAATCTCTCAAATGTATGATGTTTTGAAATGATTTCCCCTTATAGTGTTTAATATACTTAGGTTTTAACTAAGACTTTTTTATTGATGCCTACAAAAAATACAGTTCCTTGGAATACCAATTTTCAAAAAATCTCTTACCTCACCCATATTTCCAATACTCATCAATGATATTCAAATTAAATATACTTAGCTTTGCATTAACAGTTAGTCAATGAGACCATGATGCTTCTAAAGGTCAAACACAATGAAGGAAATAAAAAGATTTAAGTGACAAGAAAAAATAATTCAAAAGAAGAAATTATAAGTTTTGATGGAGTAATTATTTAATTACTAATAAAAGAAGGACCTTATGGGAGAAATTCTGTGAGGGAGGCATACTAAGAATCATATTTTCCCAATATAAAAAAAAATTTTTTTCCTCCTTTAGTCAAATCAACAATGTGGCAGACATCAGCCATATTAACAGACTTTTTTAGAGATGAGATTTTTTATTCTGTTGCCCAGACTAGAGTGCAGTGAGTGCATCACAGATCACAGCAACCTCAAACTCCTAGGCTCAAGTGATCCTCCTGCTACAGCCTCCCAAGTAATTGGGACTATAGAGGTACACCATCAAATCTGGATAATTTTTCTATTTTTTTTCTTTTTACAGAGATGGGGTCTTGTCATGTTTCCCAGGCTGGTCTTTAACTCCTGGCCTCAAGCAATCTTCCCACCTTAACCTCCCAGGATTACAAGTGTGTGCACAGTACCTGGCCTAATAGACTTTTTTTTTTTTTTGGAGATAGAGTCTCATTATGTTGCCCTTGGTAGAGTGCCATGGTGTCATGGCTCACAGCAACCTCAAACTCTTGGACTTAAGCAATTCTCTTGCCTCAGTCTCTCAAGTAGCTGGGACTATAGGTGTCTGCCACAATGCCTGGCTATTTTTTTGTTGTAGTTGTCATTGTTGTTTGGCCAGCCTCAGTGTATGTGTATGTGGCTGGTGGCCGGTGCCCAGTGCCAGCCCCAGTGTATGTCGCCTAGCCACTTAGGCTATAGGCACCGAGCCCTAATAGACTTTTAAGAATGAAATAATTATGACAATCCTCATCTTTGATCTTAGGAAAAAAAATTAGTTTAAGTAAGTTTAAAATATAAATTTTATATATATTACAATCATACACTAAGTAAAAGTTAACATTTATTTTAAATAACAGTAATTTTTCAAACTTAATATTTATGCAATAAATTAAGCATCTTACCTGTCCAGCAATAGCAGTGAAGTAACTCCACATGGGGTCACCAGCTGAGGAATAGCTGTATGAATATGCTGGGTATCCAGGGTATCCACCAGGGACCATGCTTGCACCTGTTCCAGGTGGTGGGTATCCCATTGGCATCTGCTTTCCTGGCATTTGACTGCTAAAATTTCCAAACTATAAGAGTGTAAAAGGTGAAGGTTAGTAATATAAATTATCATATTTATAGCACCTATTATCATTATTAAAGTTATCAGAAGTCCATTGAAAAGTAGAAAATAAAAACAGTTAACTAAAAGCTTTCAAACATAACTATTACAAAAGGTTTAACTACAAAACACTAGATGATTTACATTAAGACATAGTTAAGTTCAATGGAACTGTAAGAGAAAAAAGAAAAATCGCCAGCCTCTAAGAACTTAATTCTAAATGAAGAACTGGAGGCACAATTTTAAGAAGTGTTTACCATCATCACTGAAATAAATAAAAAGCAAAAAATAGCAAGATTTCACCTATAGTAAAACTATGAAATAAACCTCAAGACACAAACTTGAGATATATGGTAAATACAATAGTTACGACCCAATCATGAGAAAACATTGAGCTGAAACACCCTCTCCACCAGAAAAAAATTTATTTTTAAAAAAGCAAGATGACCATGAAAAGGTCAGTGAGGTGACAATTCTGACCACAGTCCTCTTTAAAACTAATAAAAATAACAATAATTATAAGTAGCTTGTATTTGTTGAGGGCGTTTTCCATTTCAAGCACTATTCTAAATACTATCTATTATTTGATTTTCCAATAATTCTAGGTATAGGAACTTTGTAATAACTGAGGTATCAAAGTATTACCTCATTTTGCATTTGAGGACCTGAAACTTCAAGAGGTTTCCTGTATTGATCAAGGTCAAATAGCAAGTAGTAGACTTGAATTCTAACAGTCTGACCCCAGACGTCATACACTTATTTATTTCTTGCTATGGCTATTTTTTCTCTCTTCTTTTCATTTTGAGACGTGGCACACACTTTTAAAACCTTAGAATGGTATTTTACTCAGCATTTTTATGAGTTTAGAAAATGCTGATGACCCTAACACAACATGCTCAATAAAAATACATACATAAAATGAAATTTCAAATTTTATTTCCACAGTGAGAAACAAAGAAATAAGAACTTTAATTTGTTATAATTTTATTTGTATACAATTAGTAAAAAATAAAATAATTTTGGTAAACAATAAACAAGAAAAAGTAAAAATTTGTTGGAAATGCATCTTCTAAAAAGATGAATCTCACCTACTTAATTAGATAAAGTATACTATCAAAACAACAGCTGTTAGCAGCTAACATTTTATATTTTATTAAAAGATTATAAGAAACAATAAGGTACAGATTGACTGTAGTTAATAGGATTTAAGTTTTAACCATGTCATTAACTCCAAGTAAGGAAATCATGTGAAGTTTTATCCCCTGAATTTTATCCAATGTATCTTAAAATATATTCATTTAAAAAAATCAGCGTCTAGGTTTGGTGCCTGTAGCACAGTGGCTAGGGCGCCAGCCACATACACCAGGGCTGGAGGGTTCCAACCCACCCCGGGCCTGCCACACAATGGCAACTACAACAAAAAAATAGCCGGGCTTGTGGCGGGCGCCTGCAGTCCCAAATGCTTGGGAGGGCGAGGTAAGAGAATCGCTTAAGCCAAACAGTTTGAAGTTGCTGTGAGCTGTGATGCCACGCACTCTAAAAGAGGGTGACACAGTGAGACGCTGTCTCAAAAAAAAAAAAAAAAAAAAAAAAGGGCAGCGCCTGTGGCTGAAAGGAGTAGGATGCTGGCCCCACATGCCGGAGGTGGCGGGTTCAAACCCAACCCCGGCCAAAAACTGCAAAAAAACATCAGTGTCTCTAATCTACATTGCTTCAGCTGTTTGATGGTGCTTTTCTTTCCAGTTACTTACGATGAGGAAACCAGTAAAAAAGAGATGCTTAAACAGAAAATAGTATTTATTACAAATGTTCAAAACACATACAGATAGATGGTTTCTTTATTCTCTCATGGAACGCTCCATCAAATACAGAACTCTTTGATAAAAGCGGAAGTCGGTAAGGAAGTAGCAAATTCTTTTACGGAATGAAAATTTACTACTTTCCCCATTCTACCATATACCTGAATTCAGGAAATTCAGGCAAATTTTCAAGCAAATCAATTTACATTATCTTAAAAAATCCCACGTACTCCCAGGGATAAGGTGTAACTCTTTTGAAGACCACAACCATAAGCAAATGTTGTACGTTAAAAGTTGTAAAGCACATTTCTTCTGGGGGAAAAACAAACAAAGATACAAAACGCTAGCTTCTACCCACACACCAATGGATCATTCCGCATTCCCACTTTGTTAACACAAAGTGCGCTCACTCACTTTGGAAATCGCTGACACCAACACTAAAGCTTTGGGTCCTTTCCTGCAAAGAAAGGGGCTAGCCACCAGGATACTTCTTTTACAACTCCCAACTCCCAAAGGTGATGCAGGATAATGAGTAAATATTGAAGAAATAGTAGCCCTCCCACATTAAAAAAAAAAAAGGATAGAAAAGCAGATTGCTTCTGATAGAACAGTAAAGTTTAGGCGACGCTTAGAGTATAATCTTAATTATTCGATAACAACTGAAAACAAACCAAAAAAAAAAACAAAAAACAAGAAGTGGTTAAAAAAATTCATGAAGAGGATCTTCAGCAAAACTGACTCGGATAGAGGTTGGACCACAGAAGATTACTGCAACAAGAACAGGACAGTTTGTTCCTGCTTTCAGGGAAATAAATGCCTAAACACATATCGCTTCCTCGGCGGCCCAAGGACGATGCTTCGCGGCCCTCAAAGACCGAAACACCTGCAGCGCCACGTTCAGCCTCAGTGGCGCTCGACACCGCCCCCCCACCCCCACCCCGGCTCCCAACATCCCGCGGAGTCCCGGTGTCGCCGAAGACCAGACACAATTCCGCGGGGTCCCGGTGTCGCCGAGGACCAGACATATTCCGCGGGGTCCCGGTGTCGCCGAGGACCAGACACAATTCCGCGGGGTCCCGGTGTCGCCGAGGACCAGACGCGGGCGCGGAAAGCAGGAGCCGGGGCGGGCGGACCCGGTACCTCGGCACCGCCCCACGCGCGCCACACCCGCGAGGGCGAGGGTCCCAGCGGTGCGACCAGGACTCACCCCTCCTCCATATCCCGGGTAGGCCATGACTAACGGAGCGAGCTCGTTCGCCCGGCTGAGAGAAAAGCACCGACGCCGGAGAAGACGAAGCTCAAAGACTCTGTAACCGCGAAGTCCGCTCCTCTGAGGCCGCCCCTTCACACAGGACAGCCCCGCCCTCCCAGGTTGTGATTGGCTGAGCACTGCAGTTCCGAGCACTCTGAATGGCAGCCCTCCCCTTCCCTGAGGTTAGTCCCACCCTTCTCGGCTCTGATTGGCCGTCTCCGTACCGGCGCCGGGCCTGTCCCTCCTCAGGTTCTTATTGGCTTGCTCAAGTTCTCGCGCGCTCTCCCTTTAAACCTTGAAGAACCCTTTCGCCGTAACTTCTGAGGGAAAGTCTTCGTGGTGGTCAATTTGTCACTTAAGTTTCGTTTCTTCCAAGAAATCCCGAAGAGGCAAGCCTGCGACCTTTTTATCTGTTTCTCTAACATACGAAACACATCTGTGAATTTCAAAGTTCGCATAATTACATTTTTTTAGTGTAGACTTGATGTCACCTCAAAACTTGGAAAATGTAACCACACCTAGGCCCCGAGGACAGTGCTTCTGCGCCAAAACGCGGTGATCGACACATTTTACTAAAAGGTTATTTGCAGTCTTTTGGGTAGATAAATGGTGACGTGAATTTTCAGGTTCAGAAAATAAAAATACATGCTGTCTACATTTTATTTTCAAATACAAAGTATTTTAAAAGCTTAGTTACGGCCCAAGTATTGCACAGGATCTGTACTTATACTAAAAAGTTATCTGTTTACAAGTTGATAACATAGATGGCATCTACATGTTATCTGACACCCTTATCATGACTCCACCTTTTGGCAAACTATTAAGAGGTGCCTCCTACTTAAATATACCGAGAGGAACAGCGTGGTTTTTATCTTTCAGTGAAAAGTTAAATGTTCAATTGCTTTGGATTATTAATACCAATTGACAAGTCTGCTTTTCTCTGGAACTCAAATGAATTTTGGCGTGCTGGAGCTTTTAGAAGGAAAGGACAGCTCTAGTTTTCAACATAAAAACAAACGAAAATCCAGGATGATTTATTTTTATTTTTTTGGCGCAGAGTCTCACTCTGTTGCCCCGGTAGAGTGCTCTAGCGTCATAGCCCACAGCAACGGCAAACTCTTTGGATTCAAGCGATTCTCTTGCCTTCTCTGGCTGGTCTCGAACCTGTGAGCTCAGGCAGTCCCATCCGCCTGGGCCTCCCAGAATGCAAGGATTCCAGACGTGAGCTACCACCTCAGCCCCAAGATGATATTAAGTTATCCTTGAAGAAGACAAAGGCTAACGTGTTTCTTAAAAATAGGTTATCCAAATGGGCTATTAGCAGAGGAAATGAGCCCGGCAGAACTGAGCAGCTATTGCTCAGCTACACTACGGAGAAGGAACTTGTTGGATCTTGTGAAACATATGCCAGGAATAAGCAAAGAAAGAAGGTAATGTAGAAGCTACTCTTGAGAAAGTGTCCATTAGTTCCTCTAATACAGTAAGAAATACATTAGCCAATAAAGTTAGATTATTGGCATAAATAAATACATAAAGGGGAATGGGGAAACCTGCTTAATAAGAGGAAAGAACATAGGATTATTTAGGGCATCAAGTGATAAAGCATTAGAATGCAGAACAAACTGTTTCATTCCAACAGAATACATATTCAAAGAAATGCTTAGAAAAGTTTGGGTGTTTACATTCACAGGGTTAATCTAACTCTTGGGATCAAAACTTTTGTGCATCTTCTTTTCCTCAAAATAGCCTTACTGATATATTGCACTTGTGTATGTGGGGAGTCATGGGTCTCTTGAATTTCTACACACCTAATAAATTTCCCTCCAAGGCAAAGTTTGGCTAGGTTTGCTTAGCAGCCCCTTTGGGCTCAGTGACCATAGCTCAGTGGTTAGGGTGCTGGCCACAATACCCATGACACTGCCAAAGGTGGCGTTGCCCCAGCCAGCTCCGTGGAGCTGGAGGGGGGGAGGGGCAGACAGCTGCCTCCACCTTGGCGGTGTTGGTGCAGAGGCAGCGAACAGAGGAACCAGCAGGCTGGAGAGTAGGCAGGGGGGCCTTCCCGCAGGAGGCTCCAGTAGCCTGAGGGGCCAGACAACTTCTGGGGAACCCCAGCACTGTAAGTTTCCCTCCCCCTGCACTTGGCTGAACAGGAAACCCACCTCCATTTTCTAGGCTTGTCAATTTCATGCACATTTCCTAGGCCTGGGAAAGAAAAGGATTGTAGTCATTCATTTACTGCTGAGCTATGCTAAATGTAACTGCAGAGGGCCGGTGCTGGGTGAATGTAACTACCCAGCCCCACTAAATGTAACTACAGAGGGGCCCGTGCATGATAAATGTAACTACAGAGGGCCCGTGCACGCTAAATGTAACCAGGGAGCCCCGCTAAAAGTAACTACAGAGGATCCCATGTAACAATATCTACCCTTGGACAAAGAGCCTGCAGAGACAGACAGAGAGCTTCCCCCCACACACACTTGGTTTGTTTCTCTCAGCCAGGAACTCTGGAGTTTCTGTATTCTTTTCTATAAATAAATCCTGTCTTACCACTAAAGGAATCATCGAGATCATGGACCTACTGAAGACGAAATTCCGGTATCACCGGGGCTGGCAGGTTCAAACCCAGCAGGGCCTGCTAAACAACAATGACAACTGCGACAGAAAAATAGCCGGGTCTTGTGGTGGGTGCCTATAATCCCAGTTACTTGGGAGGCTGAGGCAAGAGAATCACTTAAGCCCAAGAGTTTGAGGTTGCTGTGAGCTGTGACAACATGGCACTCTACCTAAGGCTACATAGTGAGACTCTGTCTAAAAAAAAGAAGATAGGACTTTTCTAAGTATGAAGCTCCTCCTGTCTGATAGCAAATTCAAAGCATGTGCAGCACCTCCCTGGAAGTTCCACTTTACCTTGTGGGACTTAGGAGCAAGGGGAGTCTATAGGAATAAGAAATTAATGCTACCTATTGTGCTTTGAGTAATGAAGCCCTTTGTCTCTGACCTAGAAATCTCATGCCTTCTGCGAACTTCTATGAAACTATAACAGGCTACATGTTAGCTTGTACTTCAATAAAATATCAGATCCTTCACAATTCCTGACATATCTCTCCTTTTTTTTTTTTTTTTTTCTGACGAAGTCTGATTATGTCACTATAGGTAGTGTGCTATGGTGTCACAACTCACAGCAACCTCAAACCCTTGGGCTTAAGTGTTTCTCTTGCCTCAGCCTCCCAAGTTGCTGGTACTACAGGCACCAGACACAACACCTGGCTATTTTTCTGTTGCGGTTGTCATTATTGCTTAGCTGGCCTGGACTGGGTTCGAACCCACCAACCCCAGTGTATGTGGCCTACACTGTAACCACTGTGCTATGGGCGCTGAGCCCCTGACATATCTCTTTCTTAAAGAAAGGACTACCTGGCTTGGCGCTGTGGCTCAAGCAGCTAAGCCACGTACACCTGAGCTGGTGGGTTCGAATCCAGCCAGGCCTGCCAAACAACCAAAAAATAGCCGGGTGTTGTGGTGGGCACCTGTAGTCCCAGCTACTTGGGAGGTGGAGGAAGGAGAATCGCTTAAGCCTAGGAGTTGGAGGTTGCTGTGAGCTGTGATGCTACGGCACTCTACCCAGGGCTACAGCTTGATGCTCTATCTAAAAAACAAAAAAAGAAAGGACTACCCAGGAAAGTATCCACCATGAAGATACAGAGAGGGCCATGAACAACACAGTATAGCATCGCTCTCCCTACAGCTAATATTTCAAATTATAAGTTATATAAAAAAATTCAAGTGAGCCATGGAGAATTTTTTTAAATAATAGAAATGATAATTTTCCTCCATGATTCAGTCATTATTGTATAAATGTAGCATTTGATGAAAATACAATATACAAAAATAATTTTAAATCATACATTTTTCTTTTAATAAAATACCTCATTATTCTATAAAAATAGCTATTTATAGGGTAAGTACTATCCAGTAGGCACTGTGTGTTGTATTCCCCAAAACAATCCTAATGCAGATACATATATATATAGTATATATAGTAAAATTTTTATATGTTTAATTTTCACATTTTACAAATGTGAAAAATAAAGTGCAGAATTGTATTTCGCCTACCACAGTTATGTAGTTAGCAGCAAAGCTGAGATTAGAACCCAGGCAGTTTGGTTTGCAAAACTAAATAATGCATTTCCCCTTCCATACCTATTGCCAACCATAGTACTGTAATTCAATATATAAAGGGGTTAAAAAGTTACAGTAGAAAAGACAATCTGAGAAACAGCCCAGAAAAATACATTGTTCTGACCAATATTAGTCAATCTAATTACTTTTCCTATACAGGATGCATGCTTTCTTATGACCATGAAGTTCACATGATTAATCCTACCTATGGAATTTCTTCCAAATATTGGTGGATTTTGATCTTATCATAAGCTTGAATATCCAATTAACCAGTACAATATAAACAATAAATTAATTCTGGTTTCCTTTCATATCTGTTGCCACTATATGAATAGGGCAGTGACACCCTGTGAGAGACAAAAGTACAGATATTACTGCTCCTCAGAAAACTTCTGTCACAGAGCCAGAGCTGACTTCCATCATATTGATCATTCATACAGTAAACACTATAAATAAGGCATACCAGCTAATGAAAGCCAACATTAATGAAGTTTATTTTACTCACTAAGAAATTTCATTTAGATAGAATAATTCATTTATTCAACAATAATTTATCAAACGTATAAAATGTAACATGATTTTAGATGGGGGGAAATACATCAATGGGAGGTGGAATGAAGTCCTTGTGAGCTCCCTTACTACCAGGGAGAACAGACAATAATAAGTAAAGAAGATGATTGAGCAAATTATATATAGCATGTGGGAAAGGGAAAAGTGCTATTGGAAAAAAAAAAAAAGGAAAACTAAAGCAAGGTTAAGAGTAGGGCAATGACAGAGTAGGTTGCAGTTCTAAAGGGAGCACTGAGTGTAGCCTCA